AGGAGGGGGAAGAGGAGGAGGGGGAAGGAGGAGAAGAAGAGGAAAAGGAGAAGGAGAAGGAGAAGGAGAGGAGGAGGAGAAGGAGAAAGAGAAGTAGAGGAGGAAGAGGAGAAGAAGAAGAAGAAGAAGAAGAAGAAGAAGAAGAAGAAGAAGAAGAAGAAGAAGAAGAAGAAAAGAAGAAGAAAAAGAAGAAGGAGGAGGAACATGAGGAGGTGAAGAAACTCTATTTATTACCACCCAGATCAACCCACCTACCCAGACAGATGGCCCATTGAAGGCTGGCCTTTTCCTTCATGGAGCATTCAGCTACTTGAAGACTTTACTTCTGCAATTGCCCCCACCATGTTATCAGTTGTCTTCTGGGTTATTTACATCAACATACAATTTACAAGCATGTAATTTTGCTTATTTTGGAAATCCCTCCTTTGGTTTCAGGTACCTACCTAGCTGTGATCCCATTTCTCTATTTTCCTTTATAGAAGGTCATCTGATACGTGTTTAAGAAACAGGAATTCTTCCCTGCTACTTACTAGAACCACCTCTGTCAGAGTCACTCTCTACCCTCCGAAACCAACTCAATTCTCCATCCTTAGTTTATTGTTTCTCAGAAGCACTTGACATAGTTCATCACGCACTCTTTAAAACTGTCTTCATTTGGTCCTGGAAGACCACACTCTCCTGACTTTTCTTCTGCTTCCTTGGCTTACCCTTTTCAGTTTCCTTGGTGGGTCTTCTCTTCCAGACCTCTCATTATTGGAATATCTCAGGGCTCAGTACTCAGACTTCTTCTCTTCCTTATCTATAATCATCCAGTTTCACATTCAGCTGTAGAGTTTGACATTTTTCTGCAATACTTAGATTTCTATCTCTCAGTCAAACCCTACACTGTACTCTAACTGCCTACACAGGTCAGTAATTGGAAGTCTAAAGTCATCTCAAACTTAGCAAATTGAACACTTGAATCTACAGTCACTTCTGTATTACAGTTCACCAGTCTCTTTTGACTCCTTTCTTTCTCATATCTATATTCAGTCTATTAGAAAACCTGGTTGGTTCTAAGCACTAAAAAGGCTAGGATGGGGTGAACACAGGACAGAGGGCAAGGAACAGAACTGGAGAGGTCTCAGGGTGTAGGAAAAACCTTGCTTTCAAAATAAGCCTGAATCTGAGTGTGAGGGAAGGACTGTGATTGCTAATGGATTGATTACTGATGGTCGGCTTATGATCCCCAGCCGTGCTGAGTGCACGTGGTGCAAGGTGCGGAAGGCTCGCCCGAGGATGGTTACCATCAGCTGAGAGGCAGAAATGGGAAGGGATAATGAATTTCTCCTGTGGGTCTGAGTTATGTGCTTGGTTTTTTTTTTTTTTTTTTTTTT